ATTTCAAGCTACTTGACCACTGATGAATTTTTAAAAGGTGAACAAGTTGTTATTTCCTATGTGGACAGAAGCAGGTAGGTCACATCTGTCCTATACAATACAGACTATATACACAGTCTTAAGACTATTTTTTTGGTTGCTGTTGGTCTCTATAACTTAAGTTGGCTGGGAATGTACTATGCAGCCTTGCCTGGCCTGACCTCAAACTCTTGGCAATTCTCTTGCCAGACCTTGTCACCACATCTAACTGGACTTTTCAAAGCACTATCTCAGTTCAAATCAAGATATAACTATAGGCTTTTTGATTACTAAAAATTTTCAGCTACCAACCATACTTAAGAGATTTAAACTGGGGGCTGGAGAAATGGCTCTGCAGTTAAGAGCATTGGTTGATCTTCCAGGACCTGGGTTCAATTCCCAGCACCCACATGGCAGCTCACAACTGCCTCTAGTTCCAGGGGGTCTGACATCCTCAAACAAACATGCAGGCAAAACACTAACACGTATAAAATAAAAATAAATGTCATTAAAAAGAGAAGATTCAAACTGGATTCTAACAAGTCCCTAAAATATTTTCAAATCATATCCTCTATATTTCCAAATCATATCCTCCATATGTTCAAAGCATATCCTGTATACAAAAATATCAGGTACTCATACAAAAACCCAGAACAGCTAAATGATTAACAACATTCACATTTATGGTCTCATTTATGGACAAAGCACTTAGGAATTTGTATAAATTCATATAATACCAGATACCAATGATATATGTGGCACCATCTTCTTTTCCATATGAAAGCATAACTTACTCAGGGTCACACGGCTAGCTATTCACTGCTGGAATCTACCTCAATATTGTGTGTGTGGAGATCACAGGCTCATAGTTAACTTTATTTGGCTTTTCATCTGTTTGTCAAGGTCATTCAGAAATAACTCTTCTAGTTGAGTCTTTTAATGAAAACAATGAAATAAACAACCAGAACAGGAAAACTTACATAATCAAGAACTGGCCAGAACTTGAAGGGGAAAAAAAAGTTTACTTACATTCTGCCAGAATAGCTTGTTTTTGTGAGGCCACTGCTCACTTTCATCTCATTACAAGTATCAGAAACATGTAACTGCCTCTTAGAAAGCAGCCTTGTAAGTTGCTTTTATCAGACATCACAGACCAGGAAAGTATTTCAAATCTGTATTTCTACCTTTAACATTCTCCTCAGGAAAATCCTGACTACTTCCCAACTGTTTCTCACTATGAATGCAGATCTACTAGAACCTTGTAGTGAAGACAGACCACCTAAAGTTAAAGTCATTATGTAACTATAACCTCCTGGCCCCCAGCTCGTGTGAATTCTTATCTCCTTAGGTAAATGTAAAGCAGGGATCTTTTTTTTTTTTTTGGCCAGGGTGGAGGGGTAGTCATGTAGCTCTGACTATCCTGAAACTCACTATATAGACCACACTGTCCTCACAAGCTCAACATGCCCCTGCCTCTCAAGTGCTGGAATCAACGGCAAAGCTGTGTTATAGTTTCTAGGGCTCCTCACTGACACAACTGCTTTTTCCTGACACCACTGACAGAGCAGGGAACACAATTCTTACAGATGGAGTAACTTAGCAGCTTCTCTCTGACAGAGGGCAGTCTGTCTCTCTTTCTTCTCTCAGACAAAGAAAGAACTTCAAATTAGTAAAAGTGACAATAAAGGATGATTACACTAAAATCTAGTGAACAAGAACTTAGGATGGTTTTCTGCAGAGTGTCCGCTGGATTCCTTCCTAGTATAAAGTACTAGAAAACTGGACTTTTCAGTAGTTTTCATCAGATACATACCAGCAATACCAGCCTACAATATCAGCATTGTACACATGTTTAAGAGCAGATGAAATTCCAGCTTAAACACATAAATAGATGCATGTACAAAAAGTAAAGCAATCATGGAATCATGGAATAAATATGTTGTTCTAACACAAGTCAAATCTATCATCACCCAGAGTTTGTATGACTCCTGATTTCAGCGCTTATGTTTATGTCTTCATCTACGCTACATATACGTGTATCCTTGGACAAATTCAAATTTTTGCATCTCAGTTTCCTCATCTGTACAATGAGGCTAACAGTACTTACCTCTCATTGGCTGAAGACTAAAATAATTAATGCTTGACGTGCATACAAGGAAGCCTGGCACACACAAGTGCTGTAAGGGTGACTAGTGTGATTCATACAAATTTACCTGATGATACCTCGGTAGCCAATGATTAAGTCATAATGGGTAGGTTATAGATGTCTATGCTATAGCTCATATGCTATACCTAATTTAAATGTTGACTTAAGTACATGGACAGTCAAAAACATTGATTATAAATCTACAAGATAAAGGCTGATCAATGGCTACTAAGTTATACCTACATAGGTGTTGCAAGTTCAGTTGTGCTATGCACTGTACCCTAACTACACAAAGCATGTATCCTGTGTACTGTATTCTCAATGGGCTAGAAGAAAAGACTTTATTTTTCACAACAAAGAAATCATGTCTAGCCAGGTGGTAGTGGTACACACCTTTACTCCCAGCATTCAGAAGGCAGAGGCAGGCAGATCCCTATGAGTTCCAGATCAGCCTGGCCTACAGAGTATGTTCCAGGGCTGTTACACAGAGAAATACTGTCTTGAAAAAACAAAAAAAATCATGCCTGAGGAGATAAGCTATTTAAACATCCCACATATATTTAACACACATATTTAAACATATATTTATTTAAACATCATGGTATATACCCATTCACATTCAATTGTTTATTAATTTCATTTGTATTAAGAAAACCTATATCCCAGAAACTTATTTTAATTCATTCTGCCATCACACATCAAAAGCTGTATTACCACCCAGCACAGAGATGCACACCTGTAATCACAGAACCTAAGAGGCAGAGAGAAGACTGAAGCAGTGAGTTTGAGACTAGGCAGGGCTACATAGCATAAAAGTGGGAAAGAGAGAACATTGTTATCATCTGTACAGTTTGGATCTTCTATATGTACAGTTAGTTACATAATCTATCAGTTTTAATAGCAAGTGGACAGAACAAGACTGTGTCTTATCAGAAAGGGAGAAAGAAGAAAGTGAACTCAACTATTAAATAAAAATGCAACAAAACCAAAGGCTTATACTTAACAACTTACAGTTTAAAACTGTGGAAACAGGGAAACTAAGAATCAGAGTTAATTAACTTCTGATGATCACTGCCAGAAAACAGTACAGGGAAAGAAATTTACCTAATGTCATCTTCAGTGCTGTTTTTGGAGCCACAGCCAAGTGGAAAAATGCACTTTTTGCAGCAGCCCAATTCTCTGGAGACTCTTGCCTAGGGAACAAGCATCAAGGGAATGTGCTCGGCCTGGTTTCACACAGGCTGCCTCCCTGATCCATACAACTCCAAGTTTAAAATGGCTTCAACATAACACAAGCATTGCATGATGGGAAGCGTACAGAAGATTAACAGAGTAAGAGCCATACTCCAGAGGCTGGCAGTCCATAAATACTTGCCATAGATGAAAGAGGAATTTCAATCTGAAAGTAGGTGTGTGGTTTAGGCCAAATCACCTCATTTCTCATAGACTTCATTTGTAAGATGGGTGAATGGTTTCTTATCTTGTTTGAAGGCAGAGGCAGTTGGTACTGGATTTTCAGCCTTCCATTTCTAAAGTCATGCTTAAAATTCTAACTTGGATGGAGAAGGGAGAAAAACAACAAACAAACAAATATTCTCCAGCTGTATGCTGCCTCAGACATCGGTCTTTAAAAAAAAAAAAAAAAAAGAGGAGAAAACCTCGGACAACCCTAAGAAATGAGGTTCACTGGATGGAGGCAGTCAAGAAGTCCACCAAGAACCAAGTTAATACTTGTATAAATTCCCAGCAGCTAAATGTAAAATGCTGAGTAACCACGTGTTCAGGCCTATAAACTGGTATGTGTGGTTCTACAGAAACACCTGAGATACAGTGAGAAATGTAATTTTCATATTCTTCTTAGTGTTGCATCTTTCGGCATTGGCTCCCGTGATATTACAGACTCATAACACCTTGCAGATTCCACCTCCCACATCAGACAAATAAAATCAAGAGTCGAATGCTATTTGGTCTCACCAGAGAAAATGTACGGAAGGCAAGGGCAAGATTTATTTTTACAGAGAGATTGGCAAATTCTCACCAACGCGGCCACCTTTGGAATCCTCCCTGCACGCAAGTTCTCCATTTGCAATAGACCCAGAAGCGCTCATCTTGGAAAGAAAAGGGCCCACTCCCTCCCCACTAACAGACAAATTTCAAAAAGCAAAAACAGCAACAAAAAAAAAAAAGTGTTTGGAGAAATTTGGGGCGCAGACATATGAGATTATAGCAGCAAATGACGACAAATATCACGAGAAGGCTCAATTTTCAGCCTGATCTCCCCCCCCAACCCCCACCCCATTGGGAATCCGGTTTGAGTCAGTAAAACGACTCCGACAAAAAAATCCATTTCTTGATTCAAACCTCAAGCCCACTGTCAAGAGAAGCTCGGGTCCAGCCGGGTTTCCCACACCAGCGATGATGAAACAGCTTTACTGCAAAGTGGGAGAGGGATTCGCCCCAGCTGTCGCCAAGGTTAAACCCTTACTCATTCCGGGGAGTGCAGCAGGGACGCCGCGGCTCGGGGTACTCGCTCGCCTTCGGCTACATTTCAATTTTTTGAGAGCCACAAAGGAGTGAGGGTGACAGGCCCAGAGGGATGGCTCCGGGCCCGAGGGGAGCAGGCAGGGGCGGCGCCGAGCACAGGAGGCGCCAAGGGGAGTCCGCGGCCCAGCCGTCCCCAGCCGCACCCCGTGCGGCCCGCCGAAGGGAGAAGCCCGGGCTGCCCGCGGAGGCGCAGGCCCGGCCGGAAGCGGGGAGGGGCGGTGGCGAGACGGCCGCGGCCGCCGCCCGAGAAGGGGCTCCGCGCTGGGGCCCCTGGGGGCCGCGCCGCACTCACCGTGGAGGACTGTGGCGAGCAAGGGCGCTTCCGGGAGGCTCGGAGGGCGGCGACTACGTCTTTCCCAGGCCCACTCCTCAGGCGGTGGTGGCGGCAGCGGCGGTGGCGGCGACCGTAGCTGCAGTGGCGGCGGCAGCAGCGGCTACCCGGCTCCGAAATCGGCGGCGGCGGTGGCGGTGGCGGCAGCTGCACTTCCGCTCCGGCCACCACTTCCGCTCTAGCCCAAGTCCCGCCCCACCCAGAGTCGGCTCCTCATTGGGTGAGCGAGGCACGGGGTTGCCCCGTCCTCCCGAAAAGGGCGGCGATTGCGGGAGGAGGGGAAGTCACGGAGAGCCTAGAGGGAGCGGCCGTGGGAGGGCGCAGGGCCTGGGTGGGAGCGAGGGGGAGTGCGGACGCAGGGAAAGGAAGTGGGGTGGGGAGCAGGAAGAGAGGGAAGAAGAGAGGGCGGAGCTGAGGTGTCCGCCCCAGGGCTGGGACGTGTGAGAACGGGGCGGGCTCCCGGAGGGAGGGTTCGGAAGCTTGGAACGTTCTTGCTCCAGGTTCGGGGTCATATGTTCGCACTCCACCCTGAAAATAATCCTCGCGGAATCGGAGCCCCTAACAGTCCTATTAGCTGTGCGCTAAGGAAATGCTTGTAACCAAAGGAGAACAGAAATGGCTCAGCCCTACATTTTCAGTTAATTCATATTTCTGTCCTAGAACAGGACAGTCAGGAACAGAACACCCTCCAGGTCTTAACTCTGTACAAGCGTTCTTCACTGAGATTCCCTGGTCCGCAAGTATCATTTATAAAAAGCCTCAAAGACAGAAATCCGGGGTTATCCAGACGGTTTTCACCGTTACCTGAATTTTATTAATACTCCACTCAAACTTGTTGACCCTTAAACCTAGCCCTTCAAAATACCTCTATCGCCACTCCTTCACTTTCCACAAGCTCTGTGTGGCAGCTTTCTGAATGCTGGAAAACACTGCAAGGGACAAGACAGACGGTTGCCCGGCTGTCTTGAAGCTTACAGTCCCTAGGAGAAAGAACAAATAGACCTTTGTCATGTATGCCTTACTTAGCTTAATGATAGGCTTACAATTTACCGCTTGACTCCGAGCCCTGCCCCCACAAAGTACCAAGTGATCTTTTTTCAGTGCCATTCTGTGTGTCCAGAACTACAGGCTCAGGCATATAGTTCCATGAGTGAGACAATCAGAGCTCTTCAGAAGCTGTCCTTCCTGGTTGTCAGTACCCTGATTCATTTACGAACTCCCTATTCTCCCAATGTACTGTTCCAGTATTTATAAACAGTTTGAGAATGTTGCTTAGGGTTTCTATTGTTGTGATGAAACACCATGAGCAAAGCAACTTGCAAGGAAAGGATTTATCTGGCGTACACTTCCAAATCACTTTTCATCATCTAAGGAAATCAGGACAAGAACTCAAACAGGGCAGGGACCTGGTGTCAGGAGCTGATGTGGAAGCCGTGGAGCGATGCTGCTTACAGACTGGCTCAACCTACTTTCTAATAGAATCCAGGACCATCAGTTCAGGGATGGCATCACCCACCAAGGACCGGATCCTCTCATCAATCACTAATTAAGAAAATATCCTATAGGCTTGCCTACAGTCAGATTTAATGGAGGCCTGAGTTTTCTACCTTTTTCATCGAGGCAAGGTTTTTCTATCAAACCCAGAACTCACCAATATGGGTATTCTCCCAGACCAGTTGTTTCTGGGAATCTCCTGCCTCTGCAGTCCAAGGCAGGAATTAGAGGTGGGAGGTCATGTGTTGTTAGGGAGGCAGAATCCAGCCTTCACACTCATGTGACAAGTGCTGTAAGCACCAAGCCACCTCTCCAATATATTCCAGGTTGGCCCCCATCTTAAAGGTGAGCTGGAATTTCTGGTCCTCCTGTCTCCAGATCCTGAGTGTTGAGGTTACAGGGAATGTGCCCCAATATTCATTTATGGGGTTCTGGAGATCAAACCCAAGACATCGTGCATGCTAGGCAAGGGCCCTACAAATTATAGTCCTAGTCCAGTTGCCATCTTTTTAAAAAAAAAAATTAGATTTCTATGGACAGAGAATTTCTTCTTGTCTGGAAATGCTGTCCAAATTTCTGTATGGCAGCTGAGACCATGGAGTGGAGTATCTGTTTACTTTAGATTGGGTATGTATGCACAGACTTCCCAGGGAATAAGGGTCCTCTCCCAGTCTGTGGGCCATTTTCATTAACATCATCTGTTACAGAGACATTTGTTCTTAAGACTCAGACTGCATCCCATGTCCTGAAACAAATACAGCAGCTTTTAACTTGAACAAGATTGAGTGTGTTGTGTAATGTAAAAAAAAAAAAAAAATAGGTTTTAATCAAAACCACTGAACTAGAATACTGGAGGGGTTTCTTAATACCACAATTACCCCAGGGATTTGTCTTTGGTAGACCAAAGACCAGTCACTAATGCAGAGTCTGTGAAGATTGCACCAGCTTCGCTGAGACAGCACTGTCTTATGCCCCCATCTAGAGTGGCCTAATGGGTTAGAGGCTTACAATGATTACACCACAGCTTACATCATCAGTACATGGAGTGAACAGAAATGCTCTTTGTTGGGCCTCCCTGTCCCTGCTAACCGGTTGCATGGATTAAGTCCTTTCACCATCTCTGCATTCTAGGCTAGGGGTCAGCAAGGCACAACTATCAACTGACAGATTCAAAGGTGAAATATGATGTGTATCCCAGTTTGCATCTTTCTTGCTGAGATAAAACACCATGACCAACACAACTCAGGGAAGAAAAGGTTTGTCGGGCTTACATTTCCACATTATAGTCCATTGTGGTGATATATTGTGTATGGTTTAATAAAGCTTGCCTGGGGATCAGAATGCAAAGCTAGTCACACTACATAGCCATAGGAAACAGTGGTGGCACAGACTAATCCCAGGACTCAGGAGACAGAGACAGATGGATCTCTGTGAGTTCAAGGCCACCCTGGGTTACATGAGAGTGAATCAGTCTAAAAGAGAAACAGAGCTCACACCTTTAGTCCCAGCACTAGAGAGATATATAAGATAGGAGCAGACATTCAGTCTTTGGCAGTTAGTCTCCAGCCACATTGAGGACAGGATCCTCCCCCAGCTGAGGTAGAGATAAGAGCTAGTTGGCTGGCTGTGTTGCTTTTCTGATCTTCAGCTTGAATCCCAATATCTGGGTTTTTATTATTTGTGCTATAGTCTGTCACTGAAGGAAATCAAGGCAGGAACATGGAGGGAGAAGCTGAAGCAGACCTCATGGAGGAATACTGCTTACTGGCTTCCTTTCCATAGCTTGTTCAACTGCCCACAATGGGCAGGGCCATTCCATATCAGTCATTAATCAAGAAAATGCCTCACAGGCTTGCCCACAGGAATAATCTGATGCAGGCAATCCCCCAAGTGAGGTTCTGTCTTCCTTGGTGAATCTATTGTGTGTCTAAGCAGCATAGTGTGGTACAGGACTAACCAAATGGGCCAGTGGTTATGGGGATTTGGAGAAGGACACATAACCATCTTGTGGCCAGAGAATGGAAAGTACATAATTCTAGGATCTCCCTATTCTTAATGTGCACCCCCTTGCTGATAACACGTTGTATTTCTGTGATAGATCTGTGATTTTTGGTGAACCAGTATTGACACATTGCCTTTAACTGGCACCTAGAGTCTTACATCCAGTTGCATTCTCTGTATTTTAAAGTCCCATAGATCTTGAAAAGCAGGACAGGTAACATATCTACCACTATCTTCCAAAAACTTTACTACCCTAAGAATTCCCTCTGTTTCATTCATTCATCCCCTATTTCATTATCATCCCCAACTTTTAGCAACTACTGATATCTTATATTTTTTTGTAGTGTTGCCTTTTCTAGGGAGAGTTGGATCATGCAGTAGGTAGCATTTTCTGACTGATTATCTTTCACGGAATGATATGGTTTAAAGTTCCTTTGTGTCTTTTTATAGCTTGATAGTTCATTTCTTTTTATCATTGAATAATATTTCATTGTATGAGTATACCATAGATTGTCAGTTAACCTATTCGTTTTTTTAAAGACAGGGTCTCTTACCCTATAGCCCAGGGTGGCTTTGAACTCACAGCTGTTCCCCTGCCTTAGTCTTCCAAATGATGGGATTACGGGTATGAAACATCACATCTCACTCCCATAAATGTCTTAAAAATTGACTTGTGTCACCAGGCAGTGGTCGAGCCTTTAATCCAGCACTCAGGAGGCAGAGGTAGGCGGATCTCTGTGAGTTTAAGGCTAGCCTAGTCTACAGAGTGAGTTCCAGGACTGACTCCATAGCTACTGAAAAAACCTGTCTCAAACCCCCCCCCCAAAAATGGCTTGAGCCTTCCATATAGATATGTTGAAATCAAGATTTTAGATACCTACAAATACTACCTTATTTGGGAATTATATATCTTTGAAGATATAATCAAATTACGATGAGGTCATTAGGGTAGGTTCCTAATTCAACAGGACAGGTCTCTGTAAAAGGAACCTATCATGTGGAGACAGAAGTACACAGAGAACACTATGTGGCAACAGAAGCAAGGAGCAGAGTGATGTAGCTACAAGCCAAGGAATACCAAGGACTGCCAGCAAAGTAGAAACAGAGGCATGGTAGGAATCTGCCCAGGGTCTGGGAGAGAATACACTCCCAGAATCTGCCCAGGGTCTGAGAGAGAATGCACCGTATAGATACCTTATTTCAAACTTCTAGGCTGAAGTCACTGAGTTGTGAGATAATAGATGTCTGTGTATCAAAACCACCTAGTTGATAGCACTTTGCTGTAGAGTCCTAGGAAGCAATAGAAACATCGAGGGAGCTCATGATCTGGCCTTTGACAGTTATGACCAACACCGCTGTGGACACTTACATGCAGGTTTTATGTGGACATCAGTTTTCAGCTCATCTAAGTAATATGTCGGAGCAAGACTGTTAGACTGTATATTAAAACTGTGTATAGCCAGTCAGCGGTGGCACACACCTTTAATCCTAGCACTTGGAGGCACAGGCAGATAGATTTCTGTGAGTTCCAGGCTAGCCTGGTCTACAGAGCTAGTTTCAGGACAGCCAGAGCTACACAGAGAAACTGTATCTTGAAAAACCAAAAGAACAAAACAAACAAACTGTCTAATGTGTATGTGGATACATTCAGGCAGTTACATTCAG